TCTCTCTCTCTCTCTCTCTCTCTCTCTCTCTCTCTCTCTCTCTCTCTCTCTCTCTCTGCCTCGGTTTCCATGGCGACCGGGCAGGCCTGGCATCTGAGCAGCAGCGGCTGAGACAGGAGTCCTTTGTTCTGCTCTCAGCTGATCCGGGCGGGAGGGGAAGGTGGAGGTGCACGCAGCCCCCCTCCCCCTCCCGGCCCAATCCTCTCCCCTTGGGTGGCGCTGGCACCCCCCGGGCCTCTCGGAAGCTGGGCACCTGCCGACTCGTCCTCAGATGGGCAGGGCCTCTTCGGCTCTCTGAACTGAATGCCGCCAAGGGTGGCCGGGGCCACACGGGCATCCCCAGAGCGGGCATGGCGACCTGCCCTCTCTCTGGGGTGCTGAAGGTGTGGGAGATGTGCTTCTTGGAGCCCCCAAAGTGTCCTGCGAAGAGGCGTTGCCAGGCCTTCTCCGGCCCCTTTTTTTCTCAGCCAGGAAGGGACACTTGGTGGGCATCAGGAAGAGCCCATCCTGCTGCCCCTGGTTGGCCTGTGGGCACGCCGAAGCCCAGAGGAGCTGGAGGCAAAGGCCCGTTCCTACTCAAGAGTTGAGGAGGGTCACTCTGGAGGTCTTCGGTGAAAGGATACCTCCCCAGCCCGGGTCCTCCGTGTGCCACAGGCTGGCGCAAGCCAACGGAGGGGCTAGTCAAGAGTCCCATTGCGCAATCCTAGAGTGGAAGTCTCCGGTCATGCCAAGGGCATGAATATTTGCCCTTGGCAGCTGGACGGTGATGCCCGCCACGGCTATGCCAGGACCCTGTCCGTATCGCAAGGGTCTTGCCACCCCCACCCTCAGGGACCCCCCCCTAGGCTGGCTGTGCAGGGGCAGCCCCCCCCCTCTTTCCCCCTTCAGCCGTGCCCTCTGCGGCTGGCCGCGCCCTTCCCCTTGAGCTCTGCCTGGCCTTCTCTCTGAGCCTGGGGACGGGGCCCTGGAAAGCCTCTCCCTCCCTCCACCCTCCCCAGTGCTGCTGCTGGAGGTCCCAGGGGCGCCCGAAAGGCTTAGCAGAGGCCTGAGCCAGGTGACCTTCCCACCTTCTCTGCAGCCATGCTATGTTTGAATTCTCTTTTGTTTTCTTCCTTCCTGTTTTGGTTTCTCTTTCTGGCCCCTTCTTCCTTTTTGTTCCGTCTCCTCGTGTTTGGTCCCCAGGCTCCAGCGCTAAGAAACAGGGCGAGGACTTAGCGGATAATGACGGGGATGAAGACGAAGGTACTACTTGCGTGCGCCAGGTGGCTGTCGATGCATGAAAACCTCCTCTCCCTCCCTCCCTCCCTCTCTCTCTCTCTCTCTCTCTTTTTCATGCACGTCCTCATTGCTGCTGCCATCCCAAGAAGCCCCCCCTCCCCCCTTCGTTTGTGTCTCTGTCTCTCCGGGTGCTGAGCGGTCGATTGGGGAGGGAGGGAGGGGGGGCGCCCTGCTGCCCCTCGCCCTGGGTTGCTTGCTGGCTGGGAAGGTCGAGGCGAGGGGTCGCAGGGTCTCTCTCAGCTCAGACGCTCCGGGTTTCTGGCCTGTCCCCACACAGAAGGTTGCGATGGGCTTGCAGGAAGGGTGTGTCTGGGGGGGTGGGGGGTGGAGTGGCGTTTGCCATTCTCAACCCCCCCACAAACACACACAAAACACCCCCTGGGTCCAGCCTGGGCCCTCAGCTCACACCCTGGCTGTTCGGGGGCTCTTTTCTCTCGGGGGAGGGGGCTGCTTCCTGCTCAGAGGGGCCCCTTCGAAAGGGGGCATGGGGGCATGGCACTATGGAGGGCAGGGAGGCACAGCTCTGGGAAGGAGGCTGCCAAGGGCACCATTGGCATTGGGTAGAGGAGAAGGGCGCCCTTCTGCAACAGGGTGGTTACTGCGGCTTGCCCCTCTGCCAATTTCTGTCCATGCCAGGGGCAGCGGTGTCCTTGGGCTGGTTTCGCTTGCTTCCCTCCCTCCCTGGAGAGGCTGCCATTTAATCCCGAGGAAAGCATCCCCCCCCGCCAGGCGCCCGTCAGTTTTGCTTGAAGGAGAAGATCAAGGTGATACCTAAGGAAATCCCAGCCAAACCTGTGCAAACAGCTTGGCAGAGAAGCACCAAGAGCTCCCCGGGACCCTCCGTCCAGGGAACCTGGACGCCAGCACAGCTGAGCTGGTGGGCCAGGCTTGGAAGCGGATGCCCAGGGTCTGAGAGAGCAGAGTGTCCTTCCAGTTGTGTGCTTGGGAGTCTCAGCTGACCGTCCTGTTTCTCCCTCGGGGGCTCATTTGCCGTGCGAGTGGCGATTCTCGTGGCCAGCGCTTCGTCTGACCTGGATGGAAGTGCCCTCAAGTTGCTGCCCCCTCCAGCCCCCTTGGAGGAGTTCTTTCCCTCGGGGTTGGCCAGCCATACCTCTTCTTGGCGAGAGCAGATGAAGTCCCCGTCTGGGCTGCGTCTTGACTTAACATGCCTGTACCTGTAATGTCTGCTTGCTTTAGAGTTGTCAGCATTCCGGGGTGAACAGAGACCCCTCTGGCATCCTTGACAGGGCAGTGCCAGGTGGCCCCCTATGTCCCGGGATTGCAGCTCCCGGGAGTGCGAGCTCCGGGCGTGTGTGTCGATCCCTGGGGAGCGCTCCTGCCGCTGCGCTGAGGGCATGAGCAGGACGGGAATTGCCAGCGGTTGTGGGGGCACAGGCTGGCATCCCGGTTCAGGCGCCAGGGGCATTTGACTGAAATCAGCAAGAGAGAAGAAGGGGCAGGGGATGACCACGTCTCTGCTAGCAAGTGAAGCAGCAGCTTCTCAGAGGATAGGACAGGGCTGGGCTACTCTATACAGAGTGGGACCTCCCCAGGATATTGTCCCAGTGAAAGGAGAGGGGCTGCGTCCCAACCCTTCCTCTCCCTGTGGGAGGGGGGTTGCATCTTTCTAAGACTCCGTCCCAAGCCCTGAATCTCTCAGCTGGCCACGGTGGGTCCCACCAGAGCTCAAGGGACCTTGTGGGGCTCCTGCAAGCCTTAGGGCCTTCTCACATTGTCTGCCAGGCCAGAAACCTGCGGGCAGAGCCTGAGGTCCCTGCTATGCCTCTTCTCCCCGGGAAGGGTCCAGGTAATGCAGGGGTGGGCGCCCAGCAGGCTGCGTCAGACTCCTGTCTCTAGCTTCTCCCTCTTGCAGACATCCGGGACAGCGGGGCCAAGCCGGTGATGGTCTACATCCATGGGGGCTCCTACATGGAAGGCACGGGGAACATGATCGACGGCAGCGTGCTGGCCAGCTACGGCAATGTCATCGTCATCACTCTCAACTACCGCGTGGGAGTCCTGGGTAGGGAGAAATTCTGTCTGCGCTCCATCCCAGCATGGGGGACCCTGGGGAGGTTGTGGGGGGCGCACCACATCCCTTAGCAGCCTGGGGGACCCTGTGGGGAATAGGAACAGCGTCCCGCAAAGAGCAAGATCCCCAGCTTTGGTACCCTGTTTCTGCACCGGCTCCCCTCAAAGGATCCTCTCCCCCTCCAGCCTCTGGTCCCCAGGACCGGCTCTCAACCCACCTCAGGGCCAAATGGCCCACTGTGAATGCCACCCTTTGTTCCTAGCTTGGAGTTCCCTCGTGTTTGCCCATTAGGGCCCCACAGAGAGCAAGTATTGATCTGTGGTTCAATATTGTGGAAGCCCTGTTTACCCACCTCCTCTCTGCACCGCTCAGCAAGTACCACTAATAGGCCTCCCCAGAGGGAGTATCCTGTGGTTCCGCTGGGGGGCTGCCAGGCCGCCTCCGGAAGCCGCCCGCTGGATCCTGAAGGGTTTCCTTGGAGCGGAAGGCGGGCAGGGGGGTCTCCTGCTGCACAGACAAACAGCCCCTCCCCCCTCGATTTTTGGGGCCTTTGGCCACCCCAACTCCAGCTGGCACCTTGGCCCTTGAGGGTGCCTGGGCTGTAGCGGCAGCGGCCTCCGGGCAGAGGAGAAAGCTTCCCCTGGGGGGGATTTGCACCTGGGTCAGGAGCCCAGAAACGACATGCTCAGCTCACAAGCCGGCATGCCCGGCTACCGAAGTTGCCCAGTTGAACTCAATAGAATTCACCCTCGATTTCTTTATATATCTCTATCTCTATCTCTATCATCTCTATCTCTATCTCTATCTCTATCTCTATCTCTATCTCTATCTCTATCTCTATCTCTATC